TGCCTCCTTCCATATCCTTCCATATTCCGCCCTTGCATGGGCGACGATCCATGGTCGATTGCAGCACAGGAGCTGCAAGAGAGTCGCTGTGATCAGCGCCCAGAGAGCCACCTGGACGGAGACGCGGCTGCCCCGATCGACGCCGACGACGACGCGCCGTGGGGCGGCCTCCTGATCGAGCCCAGCGCCGAGCACGACGCAGAGCATCCTGGGAAGCGCCCACGGCGATTTCGGAGAAGTGCTTTGTTCCAGGAAGCTTTGAGAGATGCTGGCGTTGTTGGCATAGAGCATCCACCCACTCGTGACAGGCACGACATACTGAAGCACGCAAGAGAGTGCAAGGCTGCAAAACGTGATGGCGAACGGGATCGCCCGTTGGTGGTTCCACGGCCTGCTGATCTAGCCATGGCCGTTGCGCCTCCGCCAGCAGTACCAGCAGAGACCATCAGCAGGGTGCAGGAGATGGACATCCGCCTTCGCGCACAGTGGCCTCTCGAACCATGCGTGCGGGAGGTCATCCAGAACATTCGCATGGACAATGCAGGTCGCGATGAGACAACTACCAAAGTCGCGAGACATTACTTGGCGCAGAGCGGCTCCCGAGCCAACGTCGATTTCAGGGTATCTTCCAAGGTTTCTTTGGCTGCGAACCTCGGGGTAGACCGTAAGAAGATCTTGTCCACGTTGTACCGCACTGCGAGCATGGTCGTGCACGTCGACAGGGGTGTTCGATTCGCCGTGGAGTCGACGTTGGCTACAACTTTGCACGATTGCGACCTACTGGTGTACATCGACGCCAGCATGAACGACGAGACGCCGCTCAAGCTTGGCCTCCAGCGGCAGAATGATCACAACATCCAGCACACCCACAACCCTGCGGAGGCATCGACTTCCCTGGCCCTGACCATGCCAGGGATGCCAGTGATGTCTGGAAGAGAGAAGACGACGGCCAAAATATTGCAATCAAGAGATTCGTGGGGAGTACTTTTCCGCAGACGAGATGGTCAGCTCGCTGCTTGCTGGGGTCGCTCTAGCACTTGGCTTCAACTTCTTGACAGGACCACTGGGGAAGTCCTGCGCGAGGCCACGTGCCAACGGAGCAGCATCACACAATTCTGCGAAAAGTTCAAGAGCAAGACGAGGTTGACATGCCTTGACAAGGCCGCTTCCAACGAGAAGGCAGAGAGGGCGTACCTCAAGGACCTGAACGAGGTTGCTGGTGGCTGGCAGCGTTTGCACATCTTCTGCGAGGTGCACTTGGTTGCCTTGGCCCACAAAAAAACTTTCAAGCTGTGCGATGCCCTCATCTCGGGGCAAATACATTTGGCTCTTTCCATCAACGAGGGCACGGGGTTCACGAGGTTCGCCATGTGCGTCAAGAAGGTCGTGAAGGCTCGCATGCAGTTTCGGCGATCGGTGCCTGTAAAGCTTGTGCAGGCTCCCCGTTGACCGTCGCGTGGCCCCGACCGAGCCATCGATTCTGGCCCCCCTTCCCGCCCAGCAGGCTTTGTTTTCAGCTGTAGGTTTGGGTCCCAGCCTCATTGTTTGAGCTGTTCTTGATGTTTTGTTTTTGGTGAGGGTGATCGTGTCCATACCAATGCCCACGCATGCCGCACATAGTATACTTGAATGCAAACGTACCCTCTGGGGGGGGGGGGGACGGACCAGCACAGGTGTTGCAGCCGCCGTGTCTTCTCAGGCGAGGGCGCCCGCCCGAAGAGGCAGTGCGACATCGTCGTCACCTTCTCCGCTTGTGTTGCTCTCGTGGAAGCCGCGTCCTTATCCGCAGGCTTTCGCTTGCTTACCTCCCCAACGGTGACTGGCGCAAGAGGGACTGCGTGGAGGTGTACTTACCAGAGAACGCCACGTACGACGAGGACTACGTGAAGGAGGTCATCTCGGAGTCGTTGACGAGATGCCTCGTGGGGGCACGCTTCACAGTATACAATCGAAGCAAGTGGACCAGGAGCGACTCAGCGTGGGACGAGTTCTGCTTGCTGGAGGGGTGCCACGGCTTGGCATCGGCCGCGTGGGAACGCTGGTGCCGAGAGGCGCGCGACCTTGCTGCCTCGCAGTTTGATGGCGCAAACGCGCCGACGGTGCCGCATGACACAGCTGCTTCTCTCCTCCACCTGGCCGCGGTGATGGACGCCCCCATGCATGACAGCTCGGGCGACGCCAATGTGCCCAAGCCCGACGCCGACAAGCACGATAGTTCCAAACAAGCTCGGGCAAATGCGCATCGAGAAGAGCACGCGCTGCATCGCCGCTTGGCTACGACATTCTTGCAAAGCGACCCTTTGGGATGTGCCCTGGTGATCCGTCAGACTATGGAGCCGCTCCGAAACCTCTTGAAGCAACACCTCGAACATTGCGGAGTTCCGTACGCAGATCGCCAGGAAGCTGCAGCTGCCCAGAGTTGTACCAATGAGGGTGTACCTGGAGAGGGGCGCGCGTATCCAATCGTCGAGAGCGCCATGGGACAGTTCGAGGCGTCCTTCCACCTTCGGGTCAAGCTTCTCATGGACCACCCTGCTCTTTGGGTCGACTTGATCGCGCCCGAGAGACAGACGCTCAGTCTCCGAGGCTTTGCGTTCAGGCTCCTTTCAGCAGCAGACTGCCTCATCCAGGAGACCCTTGACTTGCACCACAGCACGTTCCCGATGAAGATGTTTCGTCTCTTAGGCGGCGCCCAATCCTCAGACATCACTTGTTTCCCCCCCTGCATGTACGACGATTGGTCCTGGGCATTCCTGGAGAGATACCGCGAGGACCCCGATTTCGTTGACGGCGATGTGGCTCGGGCAGAGTTGCGTCTCCATGCG